TGCTGGTCTGAGTGTCTTATACCTTTTGTACTTGTCCCATAGTTCTTGGGTATTCTGTTCTGTTTTGTTCATTCTCTTTTCCTCTTTGCATTTCAGTTTGGGAGTTCATGCAGTCTATGGGTTAGTGCTACCTGTGGTTTCAGGTATCCATGGCAGTTTCGAGTGTACCCTCCACAGACAAGGGTCACTACTCTGTTGACATTTCTCCAAGCTCACTGACTCTTCCATTGCACACGTCAAGTGTATTGGTAAGCCCGACGAAGTCATTCTTCATGTCTTACAGTGTTTTTCATTTTTAACTTTTCCTTTTGATTCTTTGAGTTTACATTTCCTGTCTATTCTTGCATATTGTCCACCTTTTCCATCAGAGTCCATAATAACCAAGGGTATTTTAAATTCCTGGTCTTCAATTTTTAAATCTCTATTATGGTTAAATATGGTTCTCATGTTTGCTTTGTCTCCTCAAACTTTTTTTTTTTCTTACCTTTTATCATGCCTTATGACTTTTTGAAAGCTGGAATGTGATGTATTGGGTAATAGGAACCAGGGATAAATAGGCCTTTAGTGTGAGGGTTTGAGTTTCTCTGTCTGGGAGTTTAGTGTCTAAAGATCCATTTTTTTCTGACTGTCTTTGTTGTTTCTTTTGGTTCCTCTAGTTTTCTCCCATGTTGTCTTCAGGTTTCCCTAGACATTCCTTCTTAAATAGAATATGAACCTTGCAGTTCTTTTGTCTTTAATCCTCTATTGTACAGGGGCTCTGTAGATGCAGTGGCAAAGTAAGAGTGTGTGTGTGGGGGTGCATTCAGTGCTCCTGTCATCAGCTCTTAGTCTTCGGGTGGGTCTGTGCCCTTGTGCTGCTATTCTCACAAGTTTTTCTCAGCATTCCCCTCATGTAAGTGAGACAGGAAGGGTAGAAGGGGCTGGAGTTGGCTGATTGCTCTTCTCCAAGTCACATAAGATTGTCATAAAATAGCTTTCCTTTAGGGCTGGCCTGGTGGACTAATGGTTAAGGGAGCTAGATTCCGCATGGCTGGTAAGTCCCAGCCCTCAAGACAGGTCTCTGATAATTTTGCTATTTTTTAGTTTGTCTGAGATTTTTATTTCCCCTTCATTCTTAAAGGATCATTTTACCGGATATAGAATTTCAGGTCGATGAGTTTTTTTTCTTTCCACATTTTAAATATTTAAATCCACTCTTGTTTTCTTGCTTTGTGAAAATAAGTTTGATATAATTCTCATCCTTGTTCTTCGAGAGGTAAAGGTTTTTTGTTTTTTGTTTTTTTTTTCTGTCTCCTTGCAGGTTTTTCATTGTCTTTAGATTTCCATAGTTTGAGTGTGGTATGCCTGGGTATACGTTTTTAGCATTTATCCTGGGGGTTCTTGTACCTGTGGCTTTGTGTCTGTAATTAATTTGGAAAAATAATCAGCTATTATCACTCAAATATTTCTTCTGCTTCTCTGTGCCTTTCTTTTTTTCTTTTTATTCTTTTTTTATTTTGGAGAGATTTTTGCTATTGGGCACGTGTGCTTGCCAGGCAGAGAGAGATAGACAGAAAGTGAGAAATCACCCCCCGGGGGGATGGGCACACCCCAATCCCTTCTCCATTCTCCTCTCAGGATCTTGGGCACGCACGCACACACACCCAGCGTGAGTTTTAAGCCACCAGGTCCGGGACGAGAACCGAGGTCGACTACATGGGAGTCCAGTGACATAGCCATTACGCTAACTGCTGGTCTGAATGTCTTATACCTTTTGTACTTGTCCCATAGTTCTTGGGTATTCTGTTCTGTTTTGTTCATTCTCTTTTCCTCTTTGCATTTCAGTTTGGGAGTTCATGCAGTCTATGGGTTAGTGCTACCTGTGGTTTCAGGTATCCATGGCAGTTTCGAGTGTACCCTCCACAGACAAGGGTCACTACTCTGTTGACATTTCTCCAAGCTCACTGACTCTTCCATTGCACACGTCAAGTGTATTGGTAAGCCCGACGAAGTCATTCTTCATGTCTTACAGTGTTTTTCATTTTTAACTTTTCCTTTTGATTCTTTGAGTTTACATTTCCTGTCTATTCTTGCATATTGTCCACCTTTTCCATCAGAGTCCATAATAACCACAGGTATTTTAAATTCCTGGTCTTCAATTTTTAAATCTCTATTATGGTTAAATATGGTTCTCATGTTTGCTTTGTCTCCTCAAACTTTTTTTTTTTCTTACCTTTTATCATGCCTTATGACTTTTTGAAAGCTGGAATGTGATGTATTGGGTAATAGGAACTAGGGATAAATAGGCCTTTAGTGTGAGGGTTTGAGTTTCTCTGTCTGGGAGTTTAGTGTCTAAAGATCCATTTTTTTCTGACTGTCTTTGTTGTTTCTTTTGGTTCCTCTAGTTTTATCCCATGTTGTCTTCAGGTTTCCCTAGACATTCCTTCTTAAATTGAATATGAACCTTGCAGTTCTTTTGTCTTTAATCCTCTATTGTACAGGGGCTCTGTAGATGCAGTGGCAAAGTAAGAGTGTGTGTGTGGGGGTGCATTCAGTGCTCCTGTCATCAGCTCTTAGTCTTCGGGTGGGTCTGTGCCCTTGTGCTGCTATTCTCACAAGTTTTTCTCAGCATTCCCCTCATGTAAGTGAGACAGGAAGGGTAGAAGGGGCTGGAGTTGGCTGATTGCTCTTCTCCAAGTCACATAAGATTGTCATAAAATAGCTTTCCTTTAGGGCTGGCCTGGTGGACTAATGGTTAAGGGAGCTAGATTCCGCATGGCTGGTAAGTCCCAGCCCTGGTGGCTTGAGAAACACACCAGGAGTGTGTGTATGTGTGCATGTGTGCACATGTGTACATGCCCCAAATGCCAATGGGATGGAGAAGTGGGGGAGAAAGGATTGTGGCCTGACTATGTCCCGTTGTGGGGTGCTTTTGCTCTCTCTCTTTCTCTCTCTCTTTCTGATGCGTGCATACTCCCTCTGGAAATTGAAAAAAAAAATAGTGTTCCTCAAGAGCTGGCCTTTATTATGAAGAACAGAACTCCCTGGGAGTATTTCCCTTTTCTGATGCATGCATACTCCCTCTGGAAATTGAAAAAAAAATAGTGTTCCTCAAGAGCTGGCCTTTATTATGAAGAACAGAACTCCCTGGGAGTATTTCCCTCATTCCCCACTAGGTATCAGAGATTGTTCTCTGCTCGCACAGTGAGCACATGGTGGGACTTCCGGAGGTAAAAGTCACAATGGCGTGAGGTGCCCTCTGAGACCTGCCCTCCCGGAGGCTTTAACTCTCGTTAGTGCACACTGTCTGCACGCAGTGCGTCGTTACAGTGAGGGTTCTTGGCAGCACTGGCTCCAGCTGCAGGCTCTGCTCTCAGGCTTCCGCTCCCTGCAGTGCTGATCCTTTGAGTCCTCCCTTCTCTCCAGTTCTCAGGGAAACAGTTTGCCCTATTATCTTGATTTTGCTACAGATGTTGAGAAGAGTTGATATTTTCGGGTTTATTCTACTTTTTTTTTAATGAGGATGAAGAGTGACAATTTTTCAAGTTTTTTACGTTTTAGAGCAAAACTGTTACTTGCTCTTTGATTTTAATTTACTAAAACAGGCATCACAGTAGAATGAAGGGATTGAGTTATTGGTAGTTGAGTTTTCTTGATATTAATTATGTTGACTATTTTAAAGACTGGGACCAACAGGTGATGCAGTGGTTGGAGTGCTAGAGTCCCACATGACCGACTAGTTCAAGTCCCAGACCTGGTGGCTTGAAGACCATGCTGGGTGCATGTGCGTGTGTGCCCAAAATTCCAAAAGGAAAATGGAGGACAAGGGGTTTAGGAGTGGCCATCCCTCCTGGGGGGTGATTTTCACTTTCCTTCTCGCTGTCTCTCCCAGGCGAGTACATGTGCCCAATGGCAAAAACCTTAAAATTAAGGAAGTAATAATAATAACTAAAGAAAGACAGGAACCTACTTTTAAATTAAAAATTTTAAGATATTAAGGTAAAACATTGTACATGATGTTTATTTTTTAAAAGTTTGTTTTGTCTTTACGTTTCTCTCCCATTAAACCATCTACTGCTTAATAAGAAAAACCTTTAAGGGGCTGGCAGGTGGTGTGGTGGTTAAGGGCACTGGACTCCCATATGAGCAACCACGGTTCGAGTCCCAGATCTGGTGGTTTGCTTTCTCA